ACTTCAGCACTATACCTGGGACCATTTTTAGCAGCGAAATTTCCAATAAAAAGCTCAAAAATTCAAAAAAACATGGCACCTCCGGGCCAGGGCATTTGACTGACCATGCGAGACCCAGCTGAGTCACTGTCACAGTGAGATGATGGCTGTCCCATCAGGTGGGTTTTTGCACCATTATAACCGGCAAAGTCTGCCACCACCCCACCATGGACATGTAACGTGGATGAGAAATAAGCCTTAGCGTTTGTAAACTGCAGCGATCTGGCAGATGTTTGTGGCTGTGGCAGAACATGGGCCACCCCGAGACCACAGCGGCCTGGGGAAGAGAGAGCAGAAAAGCAGCCGAGCAGGCGCGCACACGTGGGAGAAGAGACCACGTGAGCCCGGGCGGTTAATGTAACAAATACAGCCCAACTTCATCACTCAGATTCCGTATCTGTGGATTCTCCTCCTTGCTGAAGTGTATCTGCAACCCCCAAATCAGTCCTCATGGCAGGTGCTTGGTCATTCTTGGCCATGCGCAGAACGAAGAAAGATTTGAGTCGCGCGACATGCGTGTTCCCAGGTGAAGTCGAACAGGTGACATTACGCCTTGTGGTTTCAGCTGATATTGTGAACAAATGCCCTTATCGTGATTTCCTTAGTGCCATGTTTTTTGAATTTTTGAGCTTTTTATTGGAAATTTCGCTGCTAAAAATGGTCCCAGGTATAATGCTGAAGTGTGCCTTACTGAAAACACGTTTTAGAGCAGCTTCCTTCCAGCGTGAGTTATGGTGCTGGTGGCCGTGAGTCTGATGTGAATGACAATGACAAATGTTAAATAAGATGTCTTTAAACAGAACGCAAAGTTATGTATTGATCGGTTCATGAAAATGTGCTGACCAGAGGCTCACGGGAACCTAACCCTGTACTTGTCCAGGAGCAACGGTCCAGTGTCTGCAAATCCAGTTTTCCTGGCAATTTTATAGAACATAACCAGCGTGAGTAATGAGGATTATTTGGCTGTATGTACCCATAAACTGCACTCTCCACACCACAGAGGAAAAAGAACGTGCAGAACAGCCTGATGGTTAAGGGAGAGGGCTCTGGGTTCAAATCCCAGCTGTGAACTTACTGCCCCCTGCCTCAGTTTCTCTATCTGTAAAATGGCAGCAAAACCCGGGCTTCTCACTGGCTTGTTGGAAGATGAAATAAAATAAAGGTGCATTGAGTGTGGGAATGTGGTCAACGCAATATAAACAGCAGCCGTTACTGTCAGCTCCTGTTATTAGCCCAGCAATGGGGGGCCAGGACTGGGTCTTCCCTGTGATTTACTATCCTGGCTCACCGACTCCCTGAGCCTCAATTTCCCCCTCTGTAGAATGGGAATCCCAGCAGCAGTGCCTCCCCGCCATGATTTCACCCACTTGCTGTGGGGAGAGTGGCCAGGGCTCCAGTTCCATGTGTTTGATGAGGACCTGGACCCACAGAGGATCCAGGGCCAGGACCAGGACTGCAGACAGTAGGTACAGGGTAGTGTTTATTACCAGGAGGACACCTGCCTCCGGGCACCGAGAGTTTTGACACGAATGACTTGAAGGCACTGGTTTCTGTCCAGCCCCGACCCCTGCCCTGCAGAGTCCGGGGCAGGATGCCCCACCACCTAGCAGCCTCTTCCCACCCCCTCCTCCAGGGCTGCAGCTCTGGCCACAGGTGGCTGAAGGTCAGAAATGCCCTGCCACGTGGACGTTCCCAAGATCGGGTGGGGCAGGTGGCCGCAAGGCTGCGAGTGTCAGGCAGGGGGCTCTCCCCTGGGTGGGGTAAGGGCTATGAGACGCTGGGGGGCAGGCGGGCAGCTGCTGTCTTCTCCACCACGAAGCCGTAGTTGTACTGGGGGGAAGGGGAGAGTGAGAGTGAGGGAAGACCAGAGTAAAGGGAGGACCATGGGGGGTGGCGAACAAAGAATGGGGGGGCACTTAGGGACTAAGCAGTCTCCAGTCCTGAAGAGACGGGGTGTGCCTTGGGGAGAAGGGGACCCAGGGGAGAGTGGGGCAGCCACCCTTGTGTACTCCCTCCCCGTGCCTGAACTCACCTCCTCCTCAATGTCCGCCAGCGACTTGATAGTCAGGTCCCCAAAGGCAGAAAAGGCCTGGTGGACAGGGGCAGGTCAGTCTTGGGTCCAAGTGTCAATCTGGAACCCCCATTCCCATGTCTTCAAGGATCCCCCCAATACTTGTCTGGACATACCCCCCTACCTGTCACAACCCCTAGCTACTAGCATCTGGCTGCCCGTCGCAACTCCCCCATTCTGGGACTGGAGACTTTCAGCTGCCACCCATCCCCCATGCAGGACAGTGGGCCTCTGTGCTGGGGTGGCTGGATGCAGGGATGTCCTGGCACCTAGAACTACAATAGGTGGGAGCAAACCCAGGCTCATGGGCACCCAACTCACCAGGGGGCCACAGCTCTTGCCCTCGAATCGGGGGTGCAGCGTGAAGGGAACCCCATCCATGGCTGAAAAGAAACATGCCGGCAAAGCAATTGAGGTGTAGGGGACTTGAGGCCAGCCTGCTGCCCACCCAGCCCAAAGAGGCCCACTCTGCAGGACCCAGCTCTTCCCAGTCTTTACAGAATCCAAAGTTAGGGGTGGAGATGAGGGATGGGGTATGGGGTGCCTCTCTGGCTGTGTGATCTTGGGCCAGTCACACACACTCCCACCTCCATGCCTCAGTTTCTCCACTCTGTGCTCACCTGAAATGCCATAGAGGCTGGAAGCCTCATAGATAGAGTCATTCCTCCGCAGGGTAGATGCCCGAGAGCCCAGTCTTGACAGTGTCCGCTCCGGAAAGCCACTCTTGCTGGTAGAGATGTGACAACCAGGTCAGGTTGACCCCCCTCCACCATGGCAACCCCCACTCCTTGTGCCCATTGGCTCACCTGGGCTGGCTGGCTGGGTCCAGGGAGAGGCCCCGCATGTCCCGGCTGAGACCTCGGGGCTTGGGCACCGGCTTCGGAGCCTTGGCCTTCTTGCACCAGATGGCAAAGCCGCCCATGTCCCTGGAGCAGGAGGGAAAAGGGGAGGGATCCTGGCCTGATGTGCAGCCAGGGCTGAAGACAGTCACCCAGGGAAAGCAGGGGACCTGGACCTCTGGGTGACCTCTGTCTTTTGGGGGACTTTTGTTTCAGCATCTAAGCAGCGTACTAACTAATAATTCTGGGTGCTGATTACTGTTCCATGTACTTTTTTTTTTTTTTCGGTAGCTGGCCATACAGGGATCCAAACCCTTGACCTTGGTGTTACAATACAGCATTCTAACCAAATGCGCAAACCAGCCAGCCCACGTTCTGTGTACTTTAGACACCAACTCACTGACTCCTCACAACAACCCTACAAGACTGGTACAACTGTCCCTGTTTTAACATACAGAATCTGGCAGAAGGGATAGTACGGCTCAGACGAGTTCCTGAGGGTCAGAGGAGTAGATCAGGTGTTGGGAAGGTAGCGGAAGAGGCCAGAAGCAGGGGTGCTGCCCTACCCTATTCGCAGGTATCCAGGCACCGATTTGGTCTTC